ACGGACTGCTCGTGCGGCACCGCAACCAGCTTTGGAAGAGATCGTCCGGAGGGGCTCGAGCCATCCCGGCAGAGGTCCCGCCAGAGGGGAATGGATCCCTTTCGAGAGAAAACGACGACTTGGAAGAATTCTTCGGGTGTCCTCTCGCCGTCCTCTTTCCACCGACAACCAAGGCTCCACAAGCACCGTTAGTCCCCGAAGATGCCGATGACGCGTCGGAATATGCACTAACGCCTGACGGCGTGCCGGACTACCAGCACGGGTTTGACGACTCGGTGGGCGACGCAGTGCCAGGGCCGGCCGCGGAAAGTGAAACCGTCGGGTTCCGAGAAGGCATTTCCGAGCCGCTCGGGCTGGAACAAGCATGTTCACAGGATCCGCCGCAGCGTCGTATTCAACCCGCTCGAGAATGTGAAACTCGCAGTCTTTTCGGTTGGGGATGGTCACCAACTTGAGCGGGGAGATGTAGGGATGCTTGTTCGTAGTAGAACCTTCTACCTTAAGCCGATCAGGCTTCTATGAAAGTCCAATAAAGTTAAGCGTTAGCGCTTCACTAATGAGAAGTTGCTGACGAAGTTACCCACAGCAGTCCACGTTGTTCTCAGTACCCTTCAATCGTAATAGCGGTTTTCGCGTTAATTCGAAGATGTTCAGTTAGTTTCCAGGATTTTCGGAGACGATAGGCTCACGTACCCGGTGAGGCCCCGTGTCACAGATCGAAGCTGGCCCTCGGATGACCGACGGTGTGCACGACGAGCCGGGGAGTCATGCCTCACTCACGACCGAGATGGCAGGTGCCCGACCTCTGCTAGAATGCGTATACCGATATCAGCAGACAGACAGATTAGCTACGCTCCGGAGGGGGAATCACTTGGCCGTCATCGGTCAGTTAGAGACCTACGAACGATAGTATGGGTTTGGTTCGCAACGACGCCGTCAAGCACAATCGGATGGCTTGCGATGACCGAATCCGTGCAAGATTCCAATCTGCAGATACAGATTCTCGTCCCGTGTGCTGTTCGCCCATACCCTACTATGAGACATAAGAGCGGGCTCTTATGACCTCAGTCAGATGTCTTCGTGACAGAGCATGCAAAGTCGTCCCACCACAGCTGTGTCCACTCAGAGGCTCAAAAAGAGCATGGGGGATAGCTCATCAGGAAAAGCAAGGCAAGTTTTCTCCATTAATTACATCGAACTGATTGATTCGAATACATTTCAAGAGCACGCTTCCACGGCCGGCTCAGTTGCGCTTCCCCCGTTTGTCTCTCTCAGACCCTGATGAATGGCATGACGTCGGATTCACCCCATCGAACCTCGATAGACGCATCTTCAGGGGGAGGAGACCTCATGGATGAAATTCTGTTCCCCGAATCAATGAAACTATTCGTTTGATGATTCCTTCGACTTAATCTCTAGCATCCGAATCGGATTGACATTGCCGTCGTTTTTTCGGTGATCCAATGGGTATCGGGCCAATGGGCTGTAACCATCTGGGACGCCATTATCATCGATTCTCGGAACTATTTCTACTCACGCGACGTCTTCATCGTGGTATGACGCTTTTAATTATAGACGCCTCCGCTCTATATTCAGTGATATATGATATATTATGTCTACCGAGTTCTTCGGCCTCCTCGATCCTCATTAGAAGCAATGGTCGAATATCCCAGACGCGTTCGTTGAGGAACCCAAGCTTCAAACAGAGCTTTCATTCCAGACAGCCAGGATATTTCCGGATCATCTTCAAGGAAACAAGGGAGCCAGACGAAACAGCGTCCCTAATACGCTACGTTATTGTTCACGTCATGATCGCCGCTTTCGGTCTCTAGCGTGATTCTCTCGGATATGGTCAGCTGTATGGTTTTCGGAGAGCGTGGTGAGCTCGCAGGTTCCGTCTGGCGTGCTGACCTTGATTGAGGTAGTTAGTCCTTTGCTAGAGAGGCGAATGATGTTTGTGGTGATTCTCACTAAAAGCTTTAAGCCGGAGCACGTTCCTGATAGAACTGATTAGCAGTTGGCGTGAGAAAAGCGCTTCGGTTATCCTCGTTCGAGTTTCTCCGGCGGTCGGTGCCGACCCTGAATACACTCGTCAGCCTACTCATGTACCTACTCCGATCAGACATCTCGAGCCCAGATATCGGAAGGTCGAGCACAGACTGGAATAGAGTTACTACTATTATTTAGGTACTTCTAGAGAACTCAAGCTGTTCATTCATAAGCAGTTTCTATGCAAACAAAACGTCAAACAAACAGACTCAATCCTCGGGAGGAAGGGTGCCAAGATCGATATGTAACCTAATATCTTCGCATCGTCATTCAAGTGCTCGCTTAATCTCGCTCCCGCCGAATGTCTGGGACAGTGATGTCCGAGACTCATCGATGTCTCTCTTCGACCTTCGACTCCTTAGATCAGTGATGAGTCACCTTCGAGCCTTCGTTCCACCCCGGGGATTCAGCCATGCTTTCGCCCATTCAAATACTCCCAACCATTCGCTGCATCGGCTTACCTACCCGAGTTCCGACATTTGTCTGTGAGTGGTGAGCCTACCAACATTCAAATCTTTTACGTCACGCAATAGTGGAGCCGCTGTCATCAAGGTCGACGAAGGTGGAGTCTCTGTTGACAGTACACATTATCCTTCGGCTAAGCCTTCGCCCAGTGCAAAAACTACAGAAGCATCGGCTTCCCATGAATAAGGTAGCTAGACTGTTAGGACGACTAGCCCCAGAGCCGCACCTCCGGGACGATGCCGACGTCTGAGCGACCTAGAAGGTCTCTGGACTCGCGTCAGACATACCTGAATCGTTCTTACGAAGGGTTTCATGCGGCGCTTGGATCTCCATTCGGGGATAACCTGTGATCTCGTCACGCCGAAGATTCCTCGAAGTCGATACTCTGGGACGTCATGGCGCCTCGAAAGGTTATACGAGACACTCCGGCAAATAAAGCGGGGAAATGGAAGATTTCCGCCCGGTTTCCAACTGAGGATTCTCTCTGGGGCTGATCGATCCCCAGACGCGGGGAGGACTCGTCGAATAGTCTCTCGTATTGAGTTGATGTATCCCAAGCGAGCCTCTCCAGCAGAATGCCACTGGATCGTATCAGATATCCTCACACGCATATGGAACGTATCCTCATGCATATCGTATACTCTGAACCATCCGGGAGCTCTCTGATATACGAGCCGATTTCGGGGGAGAGACGGCGAGACGAATTTCCCCTTCCATCGCTGGGATTATCCGCTGCTCGGTATTCGCTGTGCTTCAGTTGATATCATTCCCACGAGTCAGATCATTTCCCCAATCTAGATTATTCTCTCAATTCGGATTATTCCCTCAATTCAGATGATTCGTTCGATTGAGAATCTTCCTCGATTCCGATCATTTATTGGTTTACTCCCTCCCGCGGACGTTCGATCCGCAAGGCCTCGAACTAACATTGATTCGTCCGGAATCCAGCAAATAATCAATCCGGAATCCGATAATCATTGTTGGGCAAAACTTGGGAAACTTTCGCTCGATCAGTAAGATCATCGGAATTCGGTGATCCCGCGTGACGGAGACCGAAAATCGGATTTCACTACCATCGAATGTGTCGATATTGAGATCACCACTGGCAACTCCACCTGTGGGAATTTCCCAGTCTTTTATCTGAGGGTAGGTATATCACGGGGGCAATTTTTTACCTGCGTAAACCCGATCTTTGTGGAAACGCCTGGAAACGTTTACCGTGAAGAGTCAAGGTCTGCTATAGATGTCGGGAGCATGAGTGTGCGAGGACAGGCTAGACGGCTAGAGTATGAGTTCAGCAAGTGGCCGGAAATGTGTCATACCTCCTCGGGAGGATCGATCAACGAGCATCCGAGTTTGTGTTCCGTCGACGACTGATACTGACTTAGACAGGCATCCATGACTGATGAATCTCACAAAAAATAAATCGATCGCTAAATATGCGATGCGACCTCAATGATCTTTCAATTTGCCAAATAGCGTGGGTGAGCAGTTCTATTTCCGCGTGGTGGGGAGAGAGGGAATTAGTTGGTCTTGGTTTCGAATCTTGGACTCTTCCCACTTGGGGGATCTAGGAAAACGATTCTCGAAAGACTCAATACAGTTTTTAGGGCGAGGAACTCCGTTCTCCTCTCACGATTCCTGGCTTGTGAGGATGAACCTTTTCTCAGAAAACTATCGGGTCGATGCTATCGCAGATTCTCAAGCCCCGAATGCCTGTCAGACCCATAGAGAGTTTAACATCCGAATACCGACTAGTACCGAATACCGACGGAATCGGCGAACTATTGGTTTTGTTCAGTCATAACTCAAGACTCTTGTGTCGTAGATCAGCGCCCTTCATTTCCTGCTGACGAAAACAGCAGGGACTTGTTCAATAAGCGTACTGGATGTCTCCGCCGTAAGCGTAGGCGCCATCGTTGACACCGTCGCCCATATCTTGTGCACCGTCATGACCCCCGTAAACATCATCTCGATGCACTGTTTGACCCATGCTCGGCTGATAATGTTGAGGGTGATAATAATTTTGCGGATGTAAGACTTCGACGTGATGATGGTGGATGGGACGATGCGAGTGATGCTGCTCACGGTGAGTGTAGTGATGCACCGGGACATGGATGACCCTCACCTCGCGCTGAGTGTGGTGATGCACGGGGACGTGGACAGGAACTCGAACTGGATAATGCACGATCTTGAATCAGGGACCCCATGTCATTGCGTATTAATCAAAATCCTCCCGAAACTACGAGGCGGATCAGGGTTTCTAAGCCCTCTATGGAGTGGGGAGCCTCCGCTCCCCGCCTGCCCTATTGGAATGTTTATCCACATCCCATCGGATTCTGAATCCACGAAATTGCCGCAACGAACCATGCGGTCAACTATCGATTTCGATCTGGGCTCACAAAGAGTTTCGGTGATGTTCAAAGAATGTCAAGGCTCACCTTGGTCTGCTGCGGAACTTTGTACCGAATCGGCACTGGGATCACTGGCCCACCTCTCAGAAGGGCCGCCACCGCCGCGAGCTTCACCACTTTGTGTGGAAAACTTGGTGACGCTGCCAGTAGGAGTAAGAAACATACTTGAGCCAGCCGCTTGATACCTAAGTTCATCTTTGCCGATCCTCGAGACACGAAGGACTTCCCCCGATGTTTTGAACTGATTTCCGGGAGTATTCGTTTCCGACACCTGTCAACACGGTACGAACTTCAGAGTCGTCGGCAGCCAAATGAGCGTTCGGAAAATGGAACGTTGGTTATAAGCGTCAGCTGCTCTTCAGCAAAAACGATGAAGACCCCATCGGCGTGAAAGACAGGTAACGAGCCGGTGAGACAATGACTCGAGCTCAACGATATAGTTCGTCGTTTTTCCCCTCTTCCCTCGTTATGCAACCGGCGTCCCCAGGGCGCTCCTGAGCTCTCTTCCCCTTTATATCGGGTGACTCATTTGGAGCTCTTGGCTGATTGCGTGAATAAGCTTCTCTACGTACTCTCTAGCCTATCCAAATGCTACGGCTCATTGACTCGGCATTCTGATTCCACAGAAAATCGTATGACTCCAATCTCGACGACTAGTCTTCAGCCGACGACTCGAGTCCCCTCTCCGATCACTCCGTCCAGTCTGTCTCCAGAAGTCAAGGCAGTGAGTGAGATTATTTCCACAGAAGCTGCGAGTCGCAGCCCGCGACGAGATGTTAGAGTGGCGAGCTTGCCACGCCGGTAATTGCGAGTCACACCCGCGATGACGCCGCTCTGGCGGGATCTCGTCCGGGCAATATTTTTAGTGATAAATGTACCTACGTCGACTCGAACTTTCCTCGATGTATTTCTTCCAGCACCATCGAGGAAGCCGACAATTACGCCAATGCTCGGAGGGAGGTATGATTTAGGGGGGCCGAAGCAGGGCAGGCCCGGATTCTGTGGAAGTTTCGCGAATGTCCGCTCCACGGAGTGCCCGAAAAGCTGATTTCATAAAATGATTCGGAGACTGGTCGACTCGCCTCAGCTGATGATTCGGAGAGTTTTGGGAATGTTTCAGTCGAATCTCCTCAAATGTCGTTGATCAGTAGAGCATAGGTCTTCAGTCATACGGGATTTTTCTGCCTGCATCGATACTTCCAGATTGACGGTAATGTGCATAGGCGGTCCCTAAGCCTCGGAGCTGTACTCCTTTTCTGCTGCTCATTCTGCCCGAGGGGGGATTTTCGCATGAACATGGAGTTGCGGGTTGTTACGTTCTCTCGCTGACCCCCTTCCCCTCTCACGCTTCTCAGGGGGGAGCTCAGAGCTCAACGACGACCGCTCGGCCGAGCCTTACCAGTACCGGTAGCACCTCGACTTCCTCTCGACTTTGGGAGATCTATTGGCTCCTTCTCATGAAGACCTTGTCGCACATTCCACATCACATACCTAACACCTCGCATTCGACTGCCATTCTCCGTTTGATACGCGGCCTTGTATAATACATGAACTCCGTATCGGAATACGCCGATCGGGTGCGCCGCATTTGACCATCGAGCGTGGGTCGACCGAGTATTCGCTAAGGTTTACGCTTTCGGAATGGACTCCATGGAAGACAGACTCCCTTCGCGAAGATCCTCTCGCTCTAAGCCCCGCTCGGAGCAAGCGTCGAAGAGACCGTCGTCAGCACCAGCGGGAGTTTTGTTTCACGGTGAACCTTCGGACTCAGAGGTCGGATATAGGTACCGGACCTCCGCGGAGATTCCAGCTCTAGCCATGAAGTCATGAGAATCGAGGATTCAGACAAATTCATCTCCGGAGCTCGGGTCGCAAAGTATGGCAAAGTTCATCTATGATCTCTCAAAACGAAGATGGAACTCTTCTCGTACTCGGAGATGGAATTCTACCCATCCTGTCTGCCTGCATCGTGAGCTCGCCTTCTCGGAGTCCCGCATTGGACCCGGACGTTCCTCCTCTGGGATGGTCTCATGGTTAATGTGCTCAACGATCTTCGACGAGACCCGACGTGAAGCCGAACCTCTCCAAGGCTCGCGACAGGTCTTCGAGCTACACGTTCAAACGTCTTCCATCAGAGCTCCTTTTTGGCTCCCGCATCAGTCGGAGTCAAAACATTCCCGAAGGCTCAGAGGTAGTTTTCGAGCTGAGAGCTGAGACTCCAAGAATGCATGATGAACTCTTGTTTATGAACTCACCTCACCTCTCACACCTCCCTGGCATCGCGAGTCACGCAAACGCAATAGATCCCGAAAGAGCGTGCTTACCATCCGCCGCAGTGCTCATGTCGCCGGAAGTGTATCTTAGCAGGGTTTCGTGATGCTCGTGCCGTTGGCAGACGATGCCGGCGTCACTGATCCCGTATCAACCCCGCTTCCTCGCTCGACGGATGCTGGTTGGGATCGGAGCGCCGCGCCGATAATTGAGAGCTTAAGAAAGACACGACGAGATTCCAGGATTCGTCTGCTCGTCAAATTACTGCAATCTCGCCTTCGTCACCTAGGAGACGTTTACTGGCACCAACGGCTCGCATGCTGAATCACTCACGGCTCACGGTTCTGATATTCGTGGGGAGGAGGGCAGCTAATGAAAATATCGGTATGTGTTTCTATACGCGAAACTGCGGCAGAATTGCGAGACGAGACCCGATGCTGACCTATGGCTGGTACCGTGGTACCCTCATTCCGACCCCTCTCGAAAAATTCTTGAGAACTCGTGAGTCGTCGTTGAAGTTGGGACCTAGGATTCTGAGCGGAATCTATCGGGAGAGATAGTGGATTATTTTCTGGCTCTAGGGCGAACATATGTACTTTGGAGTTGTCTCTTAGTTCATGTTGATCAGGTCGGGGGGGGGGGGGGTCGGACGACAAATTGAGTCGGAACCATAGATCCGAATGAAAGCGTTCCTTTGCGAGTGAATCATTCCGCAATCGAGTATTCGTATCCAAGAGAGCAAAAAGCACAAGCACCTAATGTATGAGCATACGGAATGATCGTCTCGACTCTGTGGCAGACCCTCCCGAAGCTCAAGCTCCATAATACCCGTCGGAACGGAAGAAGATCATCATCATATACTTGTCAGCAGGTATGCAGGCTCCGCCGATCGCTTCCTTGGCATCTTGCTGTGAGTGAGCCGCCAGGAATGCCCTTGATCGCTATCGGCTGTTGTTTCCCGAAAGTTTATTGTAGAAAATGTCGATTTCTCCCAGCACGTACAAGGGAGACGGGCACCCGTGGCTCTTGTCCCATGACGAGACGGTGTGAAACTGGCTGGTAGCCCGCGGAAGATTAGCAAGAAGTTTGCGCTCACTGGAGTCATTCGAGCGAGGAGACTTTCGGAAGCCCGACAGTGGCGTCACGAATCGTATCTCTTCGCTGAGAATGAGAGAGAAATGATCACCTCACTAGAAAACCGCGAAAAAATCAAGGCGCGCCGAGTTCGAGGAGATTCCGCGGCTTATGGGTGTGATACCGAACAGCATGAGCGAAGAAATTTCGAGAATCTGTTTTTCGATGGAAGAAATAGAGATACAAGGGCCCCAAAACTCTCTCTCCAAGAAAAAATTCGTCATGCTCTCCCACTGCGCCGAGAAGCGACTGAAAGAAATGTCCGGAAAATTGCCAGGGGCATAAAAAGCTCAATCACTCCGCATGAGCACATACAAAGGAGACGGTTGAACTTTACGACTTTCCAGTCACCGAATGCATTGGGGAGCGCGTATCGGCTCGCGTTTGCACAGAAGCGAGATATACGCCGGACTCGGGTAATTTGAGACGCGCACCCGTCGAAACGATGGAAGGGCCGTCGACAGTACGTGCAGAATGTTTACGCATCGGAGTCCATCGGGATGAAATTATCTTGGATTGCCGAAGATCCGATCGGCGAAGCAGCATTATTCTGACTTTGGCGTTTACGAGGCACACGAATCTGAGCTCTAAGGTCGGGATTTCTGCGCTAGAGGGAGACCTCGACATGATCCACACAGACGCAAGGAAAGAATCCCGACCAAAATCTCATCCTCTATGAATTCTGTGCGGCCAAGAAGTTCCACCATCATCTGGAGATGAATTCATTCGAGAATCTGTCAGAATCATCTGCGATTTTTCACAGCGCGTGCTTGTGATTCAAGCGTTTCGCCGACTCTGTTCTCGGGAGCGTCAATCATGAGCTCGGATGAGTGATGCTCTGAGCCGCAGGTTGAATATCGCTTCGCGTCGAATGTTTTCTGCTCATCCTCTTCTCTGGTAGAAGCGACGAACAGATCCGGTCAGGATTGCGAGGAGGGATCATTCCGTGGACCTCTGAGACCAAAAGGGTAGCCGCCGGGAATCATCACGGCACTGGACCATGATTTTTCACAAACCATTGCGCGCTGTCTTCGACTTATGCTTGCATGCTGTTTGGGAGGAAGTAGAATTTCGATGGGACCTCAACCGTGTCCGAATCGAATGCATGTAGTGCGTTAGGTTCAGCTCGAAGATTGCACGAAGTGATGTCACGCATCAAACGGGCTGCGCACAGTACTCATCACGATTTCTCGCATGATATGATTCGGATACATGTGATTCCCCGCGGAACTAAGGTAACATGAGTCTGAGAGAAAGCGGTGACAACCGACCCTCAGGCTAGAAAAGCCCAGAAAAATCGAGAGCCTGCCGGTGCTCCAGCGAGGAACACCATCTGATGAGCCCCCACAACGTGCTCCCAAGGTAGCCGAAGCAGACCGCGTGAGCAAACAAGGCGAGTAGCGACACTCTTTCTGAAGCCGTTGAATAGGACTGACGCAAATGCGAAATGAGGAATCTGAATCAAGGGAGTCTGCATACGGGACACGTTACACGACTCTTGAGGCTCTTGGAGTGGGTCCAAAAACTCATCGATTATCGCTTCTGGAACGCAGAAAACACGATTCTGCCGTGTATCGAAAACAAAATCGGACTGCTCTAGCTGGAGCCCGTTCTGACAGGGGCGAAGTTGAGCGAGTACTCCACTCACTGTGGAGGCCCCAATCTCGAGACTCCGCTTCCTGACTTTGCGCTTGGCAACCGAGAGACTTCTCCGGTATTTCCCCCAGGGGACACACATGAATCTCAGAGAGAATCAACCAAGAATCACCGTGTCACAGAAAAACGTTGCTTCGAGAAGCGGATTAACGATTCTGTTCTATCTACCGCGCACACCTCGTGCCGATTCCATAGTCCCGATGTCAATCGCCTCTCTGTATTTCTCGATTCTTCCCAGGCTGCTCTGCATGTTTACGATCACTGCAAGGGCTCTGTTATACGATTACATAGTTGAAGGGAGGATTCATGAAAACGAGACAGAAAATCTCCGCGCTCCTCAAGCTGGCGCAGACAAGTGGAAACCGAGTGGAGAGGGAAACCAAAAAAATGCGATACATCTGATTCCTAATTCCTCGGAGAGGATGCTCCGCTCGCATAAAGAGGGCGGCACAGCGTTCCGATCCGTCAGAAAGAGTGGAGAGCTCTCATCGTAGGAACCGTGGTTTGTCCCGAATGCCGAACTTCCTTCTTAAGATATTCGTAGCCGGTAAGGAGAAGAGCTCCTCCATCCGAAGATGTCATTATTCTGATCGACACCCGACCCCCTGCTCATTTAAACCCAAAATTCCCCCTGTCAGTGGTTGCTACAGCCGGTCACGTTGTCGCGGCAGAGGATCCGTGTTCGTTGGAGGTCATTTCCAGGTGCTCGAAGGATGTCTTCTTTTATGCTGTGAAACCTTTCGCTTCCACGACACCAGAGGACGTTGAAGCGGATTGCCGGTGAGAACCTCTTGTATTGACACAACCGACTTTCCAACATGAGTCTCTCTCTCCCCTATTCCCACCTCTGGAATTCCTGTAACTCGAGCGAATACGTCGCCCATGGATTCGCAGTCGCGAGCAGAAAGCCATCGAATGCGCGGAACACTTCGAGAAATCAGGCTGCATCAAAGGAGGACTCTTGATCGGAATGTTCAAGCTCATATTCGAGGGAGCCACGAACGAGCATCTAGGGAAGTGTGAAGTCGGCCACCCCAGGAACAAAGGTACGCTTTTTCTCAAGCTTCCTTGAGATCGTCGATATCAGCTGCTTTCATTTTCGAACCTGCCTGAGTTCCCAAATTTCGCTCTTCACAGACTACCACAATCACGTCAAGTGCATAAACAAGGTCGGAAAGCGATTGGGCGATTGCATGAGACAAATGAGTTCTATCATGGAAGCATCGGCGCAACAAGCTCCGTTAGCGAATCGAGTGCCCTACACCTGCTGGTGAGTATCCTTCCGATCGGACTAGTGGCGTGCATCCGGCAGGGGGCCATGGCGCCTTAGGAAGAATTGTTATCGCCATGCTAAAGTATAGGCTCTGGAGAGGCGCGTCACCGTTGTGAATTGTTGGCCCCTCGAGAATTCGAGCTGGGTTTCCCCTCCCCTCCAAGAACAATTGTGTGTACACGTCTGCCACGGGCCTATGTGAATCTATCATCCAATGTATTTGCTGCTGGGACGGTTCGCTCTGGTGGAAGGGGGACCATGACATTCCTAAATGAGAGGCTGGAGGAGACCGTAATCAGGGCGAATTTCGATTATTCCAGCGCTCTGGGCGTCTACCAAAAATGCATCGAGAATACGATCGCGACCGTCTGCGACAAGGATCACGTCATGTACGCGCGCTCCGTGATCAGAGGCATCGCTGGCGATTTCCAGGTTTGGCTCCCGGCATTTGTCACGTACAATGACTCGAATCTCCTAGACATTAGCACAGCCAGAGTCCTTTCCCGAAAAGGTTCGGTTTCGTATATTACGGGAAGGAGCTCATTTCGCTGACCCTCGTCGTTTTACAGGACACAATCTGCGCTCCTTACAAGAAGAAGCAATGTGATAGCTTGCCCAAACTGTCCCTGAAGAAAGCCAAATACCCGACTCTAGTCCCATCTCTACTCGAGAATCTCCGCCCAATCGGTTAGAGCCGGCCGGTAGAGAATCTGGAAACCGCGATTTTCGTCAACCTCAAAAGGTCCTCACAGCGGTCAAATATCTTTACTCGATGATCTGTAAAATTTTCATGGTGCTCATGGAATTCTCTGGAACTACAGGGGCCTGGGCAGAGTCACGACGCTTCGCAATAGTTTCGAATACGAATGAGCTAGTCTTTATTGAGGTATTCGCTGTTGTGCTAGGTAGGTTAGGCTTTCCTGAACGCAGAGTTGTATCCGTTGTATTTCAAGTGCTCTCTAGCTATCGAGGGACTGTGCAAATATCGGATGAGATTCCACCGCGCTCGCACTTCAGTACAAATCGGATAATGCTCGTTGAGATGATTCAATGACCGAAATGATTACGATGGAGGAGCACACAAGAAGCTTTAGGCGGGGAATCCTATTTACAAAATTCACAAATCAGATTCTTTCGGCGCTTGAATTCGCGGGCAATGCAAAATTAATGGTTCGGAAGCTAGCGGAACCGAGTCGTGCCCGAAGCGGATCCCAGTTGAGTAGAACCGAAACGTCGTATAGCGCAGGGGCAGAGAAAGCAGTTGGGAGTATATCATTATCATCATTCCCGGGATGGTGACAAATTAAGACTGGAACACGGCAAAATCAAAAAGCATCATTCAACGGATTCAGGTTCCCGATAGTGGTTCGCTTCTTTCGTTCCATTCATAATATTCAGTAGATGTTCCCGAAGAAACTACGCAGCGAAGCTCGTCTAGTACTTCACGGTTGTGAGAAACTCTTCTAAGCCTCAGCAATGTGATTCCTACTCTACGTTGTCTGAGACCGATCAGCCCTTCAGATGATTTGATGGAAGACCCGGACAATGAGTTCTGGTCTCTTTATGGCCGAGGGGAGGATCGGAGGGCGGCCACCAGGAGTTTGATGAGTTCGATCAGATGGGAATTCAGTGACCGGCCAGAAATGCTGGGTTTCCCTTCCTTACCTTCCCCCTACTCCAGGTGCTCATGTTCCAATACGAGCGTCCGGTACTACTAAGTAAGCAGAGATGTCAGCTCTAGTCCGAATCGAACGGCATACAACCCTGTTTTTGATTATCTCTCCCTGTTTGGCACTATCCGTTTGCATTTGGTAAAAATCACAACATCGACACACCGCGGATTGCACACTCCATTAGGAGTTGACACACTCTAGAAGTATACCCAAGGTGATACCACGAAGCTGGATATCATGAAGAGGTAGAAATGCTCATGAGTGAATATTTGCCGAAAGTCATGCTTCCTTGCGATCAACCCGCCGACAGGGTCGATCCAAAACTGTATGCAGTAGCGATAGACACTCGTCGGTTTCAGTTCTTGCATCGCCTGTGGCGTGAGGCGAACTTTTTCAGTCTTCGGAGAATGCTCTCCTTGTGATCGACGACCACACTGTTTCTGTCCGCCGTCATGCTCATTTGACCTCCGTGCATTTGATTCGAGCCTGCGAAAGGGAGCGTCTAATTCAGTCTCTGGATACTGGACTCGCGGGAGGCATCTGCCACCACCGATCTCAGTCGCTGGCGAGTAGATTGAGATGATCCTCCAAGGTTCGATATCTGATCGATGGATGCACTTACCAACAACAACATACGATCCTTTCATGCGTATCAAGGGACATTTGCATCTAAGATCCGCTTGCGGCACCCAGATGAAATCCGTAGAGCCTTTCCGGACCTTAGACGCACCCCACTTGAAAACATCCTGTACGAGAACCGTGAAACGAATCCAATCTCCGAAGGCCTCCTTGGATTGGACCGTGACTTGGGTGGCTGTGAATGCAGTTGGAATCATTGAGAGATCAGCATTCGGTAACACTGGCAATCAGAAGCTGCTAAAGGATTCGGCGAGACTCCCAAGGGAAATCCCTCAGTATAGTACAGTAATTCTCTCACCAAAATCCCTCTTGCAAAATTTGCGGAAAGTGAGGTGAGCGCTCTCCCTTTGGCAATCCATGCACTCGTCGCCCTCCTCTTCGCTCGCCTCTTCATCGTCTTCGTATTCCACATCGGTGTCCGTGTTCGCTGAAATTCGAATGGGATCAAGGAAAATAGATTCAATCCAATGATAGAAAAAGAGCGCTAAGTAATCTTCTCCTTGGAAATATCGACGTGGAATCACCTACTTTACAGCCGAAAACTTACCCGGACTGTCCGCGGTCATCAATGGCGCTTCAATCAGTTGAGGTATCTCTGTAATTGTCGAATGTCTTGCTTAGTGAGTCATGGGTCATGGCTCCGTCTCCGAATTCCGGGGATTCTCTGTCGTTTTCCATAAAAACCCATTATACCGATGAACCCGCACCCGGGCGAAAGTGCGACCTCAAATCAGCGGGAGCGAACACTGAGTGCGACATCAAAAGTTGTAGCCACTGTTCCAGGCCCCGCGAATCTTAGACGAGTCCCCGGAATTTTCATTCCGTCAAGCACCACAAAGCCAGCTGGGCCTCGCGAAAGACAAAGCCGGCAGAATGAAAGAGGAAGACGGTAACAGCAGCAAAGAATTAAAATTACTCGACCTCACGAGTTTCTCTGAACGGCCCTCGCCCGTATGAAGTCTCTAGGCAGGTTCCTTCTCTATGAGACGTTAAGTCAGAATGCCAACACAAGCTGTTGTCGAGCGTTCGTTCGGGCGGTCGGGCGGACGCATTCGCAACTATTCGGCGTTTCCTCTCTTGCGAAATAGAATGGCGTACTCTGGACTGAACACGACCAGCTGACCCGTATCGACTCGAGAATACATAATCCTACAGAGCTCGTTGCAGAGATGGAACCTGCGCTCTCATCAGGGAGCTTCAACGTGGGCTGGCGGAACGAGAGGCGGGCTTTTGAGGAGGATTCGAGTTTAATCTCTGTGATCAGTGCTCACAGCCTGGGGCTCCCGCTTCTGACAAAGGATCGTCGTCACGAGTTGCTTACGGCGGCGAAGATAGGCTGATAAAATATATATAACTTGAGACCCTCCGATTGTGGAACGGTGGCGCGGAACACCGCCAAGTCATGGCTGAAACGCTCCGCTAACATTATCGAAAGAGCCCAGGATATCTCCGCGCGACATTTCCTTCGGGTGCGTCGCTGAGTCGCGCGCAACCTCCGGTGCAGATGTTTCTCCGCCCCAAGAGACACTGAACTCGATAAGGAGGATTTTCGCGAGTAATACAAGGCTCTTGGAGCGATCTCAGTCGGACAACGATTGAGAGACCTCTCCTGTGTGAGATACATATGTTATACTGAGACCGTCGGGGAACGGCATCCCTCGAGAAACGTACGATTTCAAAACGGAACTTCCCGACGTGATCTCGATGAGTCGTCGGGCGATTCTCAGGCCTTCTGACTATGGAATGGGCCACCGGGAACAGCTCACGGAGCTTCCGTCCGTAGCTATTCTGCATACATGGTGCCTACATACACATAATATGTTTGCGACGACTGTCGCCGTCAACATTCGTCAATTTCTGTCGACACGTCATTCGGTCATTATGAACATATGCAGAATATCCTCAAGAATCAGTTTCACGGATCCGATCTCCCAGAGAGTCTCAGAACTCCTCGTATAGGAGGGTAATCGCTCGATGGAGCGGATAGCCACATATTGGACAGTCGGCTGTTTGCTCGCCTCCGCGCTCGGTGAGCCAGCAAAAGCCGACATGGAGGTGGGGAGACCATGAGGATGGATTGTAATCGAATATGCGAGCGAACGACAGGGCGAGCGCTTGAGGTTGCCCTACCTGAGGTGGGAGATTGTCGGCATGAAAAATTGCTCCATCGAAGCAGAATGGCTTCTCCGTTTCCGCTCGCTCACCGGCCGCTCCCTCGTCGACAGGCAAGCAGGAAGGCTCAGTCAGTCGTTTGACCCAGCTTCCCTGCATGTAGCTCTCCACGCCATTATGCAGGCGAACTTGCGGAGCTAACAATCACGATACGGCTACGAGAATCGGCAGCAACCAAAGCTATTGGTCGAACGTTGTCTTCCCGCTCCCCGGATTTTCCGAGCCCCTCACGTACGAGCAGGCATCTTCTAATGAGGTGAGAATACCGCCGCGCGGCTTCCCCTCCTTCAGGGAGTCAGGCGACGCATTGAGAGATTTCTTCCCAAAAAACAGGAGGCGCAATGTTCCCTGAGATACCGAAGCGCCCTCCGAGGAAGGAAGTGCTACTCCAGGCGAGTGGCGAGACATGACAAAACTTCGGATCTAATCGCGAGAATACATATCGCTCGAGGTGAATGGTGGAAGGGGGGAAGGGGGTGGGTGGACATCGTAACGATGAAGTTCTCCTACCTCGTCCCTCCAGCTACTCGGACGTTCATCACCCATGGTTCTCATCGGGGTAAGGCGAACGAAGGGATACTCACTGACGCAGGGAGCGATCGGAGATCTACTCTGTTGATATCCTTTAGCGCAACGGTTGCAGGTCAGTCCCGTCACGCCGTCCTTACAGGGGCATTGTCCCGTGGTCATGTTGCATGTCCTGCCCAAGGCTCCAACTGGATGGCATTCGCAAGCTGGAAATTTAATCGGGAATGAATGAAGGAAATCTCCACAATGGAATCATGCTTCACGGAGGACACTGGTCGACGTCCGATCGCTCGCGCGATGGGACGCGGCAAGAGGTCGGTCGGAGCTCGTTCGTCGAAGACATTGGGCCAAGGCTAATACATGATTTTGACCTAGCCTCTGGCCGCCTCTGACCGCCTCTGACCGTCTTGTTCATATCGAGACTGATCTAGTGAGCAAGTGCCATCGCCCTCTCGTGGCTCGCCCAAGATTGGCGGCTGTACCGACACGAGTCCGTCCGCATGGCTCATGAATATGTCATTTTGAGCAACGCTTTCAGACAGTCGCTTCAGGCTGCGACAATACATCACCTCTGAGCCGCCATCATTTCATCGCAAACAGAGGTGGAAGTGGATGCTCAGACAAACGAGAGGGAATGAAAAGCGCCGGTCATTTCGTCTCTCAAGCGGACTCAATCGCTCATCCACATTGCTTCATAAGCATGCAAATTACCGGGGAACGCGTGCTGACAAAGGACCTATTGGGTTCGTTAGAGCGGTGCTACCATACTACGATTCTACCGTAGATCGTCGTGAATAACGACCGACGCCTCCGGTTCCAACGAGATCCTGTGGCAAAATGCGTCACCCATCCTTTTTCTCAACACCCCCGGCTCTGGCTAGTTTGGTTTACGTTGTCGGTGCCGGACTCCGGAAACTCGGAGCGTCTCTCGGTCGAACGATTCCTCTATGCCCCCTCATTCGCATTTCTTCACGATAGCCTATGTATGAACGGCTGTGCCCACCGGACGCTCGCAGTGAATCACACTCCGCTTTGGGAGTTTGGGTCGGTCTGACAAGTTGACCTGTCCTCGAAGACACTGAACGAGCAGGGGAAGAAAGCCCAGCAGCTTCGAGTCGGTCAAAAGCAATTAGAAGCAAAGTGATCGACTCGCAACTTGCAAAGGCCTGGGTCGGCTCGCACCTCGCGCTCAGGGCGGGCGCCGGCTACGTGACTAAACTTCCGCCTCGAGTTGTCCGAGTCCCGCTCAGTCTGCGGTCCAGCAACAGAGGCTGCCTACCGGTAGACTTCTGTAAAAATTGGTTCCAGCTCCTTCTGCGGTCGACTCGAGGTGGTTTTATTGTCCCATCTTTTTCTTCCGTTTGCTACTTCCTACCGGTCGCGTGGGACCCAGCCACGCAGAGGTTGACTCCTCTGCTGGAAGAAAGCCTATGCGCCTCTCCCGAAAGAATGACAGGAGCTCCAAGCGAGATGATCAAGCGGGCAATGATGGAATCAATGATTGCGTTTGCTCGAATCAATGAGCACTCGCTCGATATTCCTATCAGAGACGCCCGTCTCTCCTGCGTGATCCCCTCTGTCGAGAGCCCCATAGACGAGTCCCGGAAGCACAGCAAGCGCGAAACACGACACGGAGCTGGGCGAACTTTCGAAAGGAATCACGTGGCACGAGAATGGGTAGGAACAGGAGTGGTAACGAGCGACGTATTCGAGCGGATGAGCTAGCGCGGTCCCCTGGTCGAACGGATTGCCCGGCCAGAGGCGAGCGACAAATCGGAAACAGATTGCTTCTCATTAGGCTATCCATCATTCATCGCATCGAGCGGGCGGACGGCAAGAAGGAGGAAACGCGGGGCATCGGGTAATAAAATTTAGGTAAAACTTTTATCTTCGCCCCGGCGAGCGCTCATACATGTTCGAGCTTCGCCCAGCTCACTCGCTTTGTCTTCCTGTGTCGTTTTCCGATCTCTCCTCCTCATCATTCTGCGGAGGGCGGAAGACCGTAATTAGCACAGGGAATCGCGAACAAAAGTTGCCCGAATGAAATCCCACACCAAGAGAAAAACTCGAATTAAAAAAGGCTCCTTCCGCTGCTGGCGACGGGAGCCCTCATCGTCTGATATCTAAACGACTATGGCTAGGGGGGGAACAAGCATTCTATGAGACGAATATTGCAGAGGGTGGGCCAACGAGAACGAAATTTCTTCCCCGGTGCCGCACGATTTCCATTCGCTTATCCTGTTATGGAATATACTCGGGGTATAAGGGTGCACGTAACGCAAGTAATTCGGGAGATCTTCCTCGTAAACCCAGACGGTGTCCGTCGAGTAGAGAACCAATTCTTGCAATTGATCAGTGTTCCATCGAACATCACCGGTATCAGGATTTCTGTATTAGATGCATTCCACCTCGGGGTTGTATGTCCTTTAAGGACTCCGACGGGAGCAGAGCTTCAAGGAGCAAACGATAAAAGATGACTTCGAAATTCTCGACCCGTCTCGATGGGCTGTAAAGACGGGAGAAATCGGCGTCCCCGGCGGCGCGGCGACTCAACAGCCCCACCGCCTGCTAGCCGTCCGGTCGCCTGACATTCGCCGCAGCAACTTATCCGCTGCTCGCTCGCATGAATCCAAATCTTCGACTCTGAAGGTTCCATTCGGAGATTCTGGCTGTACTGGGATGTCTCGGTTTTTAGCGCTCTCGAAATCACCGACCCATCTACCAGCACAGTGTCCGGCGACTACGGATGTCGTTGGGGATCCCTGGACTCGATTTCGTCCTCAAATTATCGAGAACATAATATGCTATCCCAGTTCTCCATTTCCCTCGTTGGCAGAAGTTTCCGTCCGGAAACCTGTGACGAGAAATGATCAACAGTTCAGAATCCAGGAACGGACGAACCGGAACGAGCTCCCCACCATTAGAGAGCCTCGCACCTCGTGGAAGATTCCATGGGCTACGACTCCGGGGTGAGTTGGCAGCAAAGCAAAACGAAGTCTCGAGCCCGCCTCTGAATTCTCGGCGGTCATTAAGGCCGCTCAGAGAAATCTCGATCAGTCGCCCCGGGATTCCGCTATGAAGCCATCACTTGCAGGAGCTTGTCGGAGGATGATAGCGGATGAGTGACTGAGTGACCAGGAATAACGAAGCGTCCAAGGGAAGAAGCGAGCGAACTACCGATGAAACGGCTAGACAAGACACCCACCACCCAATGAGCCAATCGCCGCGCAGGCTCCCAGTCGGCTAAAAACGGAAGCCCATAGCATATGTATGTACCGCAGAGACTTCTCCCATTCGGCGATGGATTGATTTGAATTTCAAAGTCCCGGAGATAATCAAACGCAAGCGCAAGTCACTTCACGCACACGTTCCTGAATTCTTTCCAAACGTCTAGCTCCGCGGATCCGCTCAGACTTTGGTGAACGCAGCGAGCGATAGTTCAAAAACAAGTATTTCGATCGACTTCGATGGAGCTCCGCTGCCCCGAAAAGAAGTTGACGGAGGAGTACATTCAAGGAATGAACTCATGTCAGTCATGTTGAAAGTAGCATCGCTTCATCAGCGCGATCATGCTCCTCTGAACGCTGGCCTCGATCCTTACGAAAGCTAGCTCCCGCAGGTGCGGATTGCTCATTCAGACTCCGCGACTCTCGCTAGCACAATCGTTCCATCCCTGCGAAGATCGAGATGCGTGGAAGGCACTCCCGAGTGGAGATAGAGACGACTGTCCCATCTAGACGACAAGAAAGAGATTAGCTCCCCACCGTATGGAATAATATATGTCGTGCCATCGATGAGCCATCGATCAAAACGCGTCACCGCGGAGATATACTCCAAAAGATGAGAAACATCTCTGGGGACTTCCGGGGAAAAAGAGAATAGGAGAAGTCCGCATCACGAGCCGGTCGCTGTGGGCGGGAGGCTTCGGTGCATAGCTCGGTCGCTCGGTTAGCCGACTGGCAGGCCGGTCTCCCCTTCACTCCGTCAATCAGTCCTCTCTCAATATTTATTTCGGCTTCGCTCCGGATAATAATTTCTACGATGGATTGCAAAGATTGCTTCAGTGTGCTACTCCCAGCAAGATGGATAAACCCAATCTCAATCGCAGCCGCCTATGGACAGCATCGTCGGTAGCGTATGCGGTTGCGGCGATCGTGATGCCAGCGGAGACAGGATGACCACCGCAGGGCGTACGGAGGGATGGCTCAGGGGGGACATCGAGTCATTCCGCGTGTACATTGGGAAGGAGCACAGACGTTTTCTTCTCGGAGTGAGCTCTGACGTGAACTACGGAGCCGGAACCAATAGAGAAAAAATCGTCCGGAGAGGACTAACTCAGACGGATTTCGCTTCCGTATCTCGAAAGCCATTCCATGATGCCCGCGCGACGGATACCGATGCACGGGGAACAATTGAGAAGATTCTCGCATCCGATAATTCCCGAATCCAGTCTCAAGCCCAGCCCTTTCTTTCTACTCGGGTAGTCTCTTCTTGCAGCACCTTCTGCGCGAATGTCTCGGAAATGTATCCTACGAGCGTCAACGTCGCTTTCGAGCTACATTCTTCTGAATAAATATGTTCGGGAAGTAGATTCAGCCTCATTCTTCGGCACTTAAGCTTGCTCCCCGTCGTCGTGGATGGGTCCATATCCACGTCGCTCGTCATCAAGACTGGTCTTGAATAGGCTCGCTGCTCCTAAAACCCAAACGAGTGACACGAGATCTGGATGCTTTCGTCAGGGTGTTGCTGCCTGGTTCAAGCTCCCTGATCGCGGTTGCGCAGATAATGAACTCCGTGAATCATATACGAAAAGATGCTGAGAGAGAACCTCCATTTCTCGAAGCTCGATCTCGAGACCCCATTCCTCGTGTCGAAATGTGCGAATTTCTTTCGAGTCACGTGAGCTTGGTTCGAATATTGAAAATTGCCCTGGAGCATACCGGTCGGGAGATATCATCGCGTTTTCCCTCTTTCGATCGATGATTCGACTGTATTGTTTAACCGTTTTTGTTCTCTTTTGCTCATCCATTTTATCTCATACGGTGTTATTTCAACGATGGCCGACCAGTACATCCGGAGGTAGATTGTGTAGCCTCGAGCTACTGCTGTACGCGGGCGGAAGGAGTGAGCGGGCGCCGCCGCCGCCACCGCATCAACGAAGTATTAGGACCTCATCTAGGGGCTCTGCTCCCCCTCTCGTCTATCTGGCAGCTTCGCCGACGCGGCCGTCCTCGAATGAGTGAATTCGAAAATGTTTTCCCTCGCTCCGTCAGCGTTATTCTCTTGAGCGGAAAACATTCGCGTCGCGCCGAAAACAATCTTTTCCGGGTATCGATATTACTCTTCGGTCGGAGAATGAGCCCTCCGTCAGCATTCCTCGACTAGAGAGGATCGCGGGGAAGAATCCGAAAAGCAGCCCTCCTCAGAATCGAGGAATCTGTAGCAATCCGAAGAGTGACCTCGCATCACTCACCCAACGGAATCGAGGACATCTATCGACTATGTCAGCCGGAGCAAGTCCATCTCCGACATCATTCTCTTGCAGCTCAAGCTCCATTAGATCTTTTGCGCCATTCCGGAGACCGATAATTGCAGGCGACGGTAATGGAAGGAGCGACGCCGAGTATATCAATGAAATTCCTTATGATTCTCCTGCAACGATTGCTACGTTTCTTGAGGTGGCTCCAATGCTGACTGAACGAATTTGCCACGCGTAACGAGCGCAGTCACCTTCAGAACGGCTTTTTCCCACCTTCCCTAGAGATCTAGAATCTCTCCCCCCTCTCCGATTGCTTGAAACGCTAGCCAAGCTCGAAATCGAATTATGACGACGAGGTACAAGTGAATCTCGGGGCAAAGATTCCGTTCCCGGTAGTTGCTTGAATCATTCCCTCGGAGAGCAGAAGCGAATCGTGGTCCCATTCGGCTTCAGAAGTTCTGCCTCGGCAGACGAGCGATTACAAACTACCGAACTGTTCCCTCGCCTGCTCTCCCGGGTGCGCCTGTGCTCGACTGCCGACTCGCCCGAGAGTGGGTCCGCTGAATGACATTGTCGTAGTCCGCCGGGGACTTCAGACAGGAAGCGATTGAGGTGTTGAGCATAGTATTACGAGAGGCGTATGAAATCAGCGCGACCTGCATGCATCTTGCTCGCTCCGGAGGTTGCTTGTGTGCCTGCATACATGGAGCTGGATTCACAACGGTAACAGTATATATATGAAATTCCAGCATTTTCTCGATCGCGGCATCGCTGTGCGATTGCTGCAGATAAAAATCGGATGCTTCAAAATCGACTTCCTCGTTCGAGGCGCCTTCGAGCTAATAGCTCGTTTGATTCTGCAGTTTAACCGGGAAAAAATTCGCGATATCCCGGAGCTTTCCCCTTACTCTGTTGAGATTTCTATCAAAGTCTGGCGGAGAATGAAGCGGGCTTCCGCGCACCGACCGTTCTCGCTCCACGAACGAGCTCGTACAAGGAAGCCGAGTCGAAAATGAGGTGAGTTGGAAAGTTGTTAATCTTCCTGTTCGCTCTCCGCGTCGTCTCAAGGAATGACGAGGATTTCGTTGGAGCGGAAAATATCGGTACCTAGGGACGGTGTGAGCGCGCGTGCTTTCAATATGCGCAAAGCCGATTGCGACAGCTTTGGTGAAGGGACCACCTAAACTCGCCTATTATCGGACTGACAAGCCTTCCTTGAAAAAGTTCCCCCTGAGATACTGGCAGCGAACGTTTTTTTCATGGTTCTCGCATTACATTCTATGCTCCACCAGGATCTCGGCGCTTCTTTCGAATGAAGAAGCTCGGGAAGGGATAGGCAGGACTCACACGGGGTTTCGTGGAAAATTCGTTCGATGCATCGAACCATGGACATCATACGGCTGCAGGGGAGGCGAGGGGGATTTTAAGATGCTAGCTACTAGCAACTTGTCAGCAGCGAGTGCATTTACTAGATGACCATCGGAAGAATGTTTCGCGAAAAGTTCCGCTGCTGAGTATATGGAGGTCTCTTTATGAGCCAGCCCAGCATCGAGCAAGAGAGCTCTTTTTATACCGGAAAAATCATATGAGAGTTCGCCTCTCCATATTGCTCAAGGTACAGCGCACCCGTTAACACCCCCATGTTACGCTCACGTTAATGTTCACTCCGGCTGAGGCCTCGACGTGACGCCTCCACTGATCTTGAAAACTTCAAGGTTCGCCGGTCAGAATGCACGATTCGGAGGTGCTGCAGGATTCGGAGGTTGCTGATATCCAGATGATGCATTTTCACCTTGGATCTAATATTCTTGATTCTCATGACCACCTATCCAGAGTTCTATGTAGTGTGAGAGAAGAGTGATCTAAGATAGGATCTTTCTCATTTCGATAGTCGTCACGTGCGCTGGTCGATCGGCGGTCGGAATGTTGGCTCGATTCATTATCCGTTTGAAAACGCCTCCGGGTGTTGACGGCCTCAGAACGCTTCCGAGAAAACCACGGGCATCAGAATCAGTGTCCGCAGAGCGAGATGTGATCGAGTCACACTTCGCTCGCGATAGAATTTCCTACCCTTTGGATCGGCTCTCATATCCCCATCGGAAGGTAGGAAGAAGACAAAACTGACTCCCGCGCCACGTCTCGCCTTAACTTGATTCCTCATCCAAGCCATGTCCCGGAATACTACGGATATTCCGAGCTCTCCTCCACAGCGAGAGCCCAGAGCCCGATTACTTTCGTATCAGTATTGAGAGGAGCCTGGTTCTCATTAGACAGACGCCATTCTTGCCAATACTCTCGTCTCAATGACGCGGTCGGTTCGCTTCAGACCTTCTTTCTACTTCTGTAGCCACTATCCTCTCGGAATCTCATCCTTTCCATCCCCTTTGGGCTGTGCGCGATAGATCAAAGGTAACGTTTTCTTTTAATGTTCGACCAGTCGGACTTTCGACTGAAAGATCCAAACAGCGTCCGGCGGCAAACCACTTTGTCAGCGCTCAGGATAGAGATCGAGACTCCGAGGTTCCCTTCGGGAAGAAGTTGTTTCTGATGATATCGCATGAGCCGTGTTCATGTTCCTCAACGCCTCACCGAGTTTGGATCGGTGAAGATAAGTTGTTTCCTCTTCTTGGCCACAAGATGACTCTTGTGACCAAGTTTTCGAAGCTGAACATGTACGCGGTCAATAAAGAAGAGAGTTAAAATTTTCATCTGCGTTTCCCTTTCACCAGCTGAATCAAATTTGCCGAGGATTCGTGCTCTGCACTCCAGATACAATATTGGCGTTCTCAGTGGGCCAGCTTTTTGTTAGCAGGCTGACCCGGAACGCGAAGATTCGAAAAGACTTTCCGATCTGCGCGGAGTCTTCCCGAGATGGCCACATTCTACTCTGAGAGGTGGATGGCGGAACCCCAAACTAGGAGAACGAGAGAGACCTCGTAATATCGGCTCGGGAAATTGGGTAGCGTCTGAGTTTACGTCGGAAGCGAATGACGGCGACAGTTTTTTAGCTTCGCATAAAAATTCTCGCTACGAGTTCGAAAATTCCAGGAGGAGCTCATCCGAGCGCAAGGTATACATACATAAATGTACATACAGCTACCTGGCGGAATCTCGCCGGCGGTCATGAATATGATGCCGAGTCATGATCGCCCTATCACCGCATCGAATGTCGCGCGAGGACGAGGGACAGCGGCTGGGTCCCTCTCACGGTCGGCACGAGATGTCTGTCGGATAGTCGAAACCATGAGCACATCGTGCGTATCACAGCGACTGCGTGAGGAAGAGACCCAGGCGTCCAACAAACCTCAGCTGGCCCTGGGTGCGGCATCGGCTTGGGAGACGGCGCGGCGTTGATTCCCGTCTGTGCGTGAACATCTTCTGGTGCTGCTCGTCAATAGAACGGCAGCGGTCGCCGAGATATGAGCTCCCGCTGTTTTCGCTGGCGATTGGGCTAAAGATCGCTTTCGGAGGTGTCAATGGCTGTTTGACTTCTTCGAGCGGTCCAGCGCCGCGCCGGTGCTACTGCGGCTACCGCTCATCCGAATTGTTTTCGATGAGCCAAGGAACCGGGAATCCCACAAAATGTCTGCTGATATAGACCGCATTCAAGGAGGATTTCCCGTGCGGGACAATATCCGACAGGGGAATCCAGACAGGGAAGGACCAAAGAGTGGGAAATCGCGCAGCTCCTTCTTTCCGGCTCGATTTTCGGTCTACGATTGGATAGAAGCATCTCTGTGGGCGGCATTTCGCTGAAACAAGAGTCGAGAGTCTGGGAACGTCTGTACCCGGCTCGTACCGATTCCTCCCCTGCAAACATACGCGTAAATGTGTACTCACGTTTGCAGACTCTCTTATGATTTAGAGGTTTGGTATGGTCTCTGTAGAAGCCTTCTTTGCAATGATGGCAATAGCGTCCGGCAGTGTTGTGGCGGCATTTGAGGCAAACTCCGCCACTTCTGTATCCGGACAATTTGTAGAGTTCCATGTTGAAACGGCAACCCCTTGCATGGCCGTTGCATTTGCACTCTGTTGAGAAAATCATGATATCTTAGTTGGCGGGACAAAAAGGAGCAACGAAAATACCTTCCGTGGATTCTTCGAGATCGGAGGAGCTGGACGTTCTTCTCTCTGGTTCTACTCGAGGGCGAGCGCATGTTTCATATGTCTATTGAGGTTCAGAAGCGTTCCCGTTCGCAGGTAATCAAATTTGTTCGAGATCCCGCTCAGTGGAAGCCGAAGCTGAACCGATCAGATATTCACCTCGCGGCAGCGTTTTGAGACGCAGCGCTGGTGGTTTATTGAATAAATTTATAACAGAAGCGCTCCGCGCATTTCCTACGTACACTAACACACGTCCAAATACCCTTGCGCGGGCATCCGGACTCGACTTTCCCACTTGCGCTCGCGTAGAGCGTATGTTTTTCCATAACTCGATCGGCCAATAAACGGCGTTCGACAGCAACCTATGCAAGTCTCACTTCGCCGACACGCGGATACCGGAATGTCTTTACTCCAAGAGGGTAAAGTAAACTGAGGTGTCGCGAAAATCGTGTGGAGGAATGTCCTCCAAATATCGGATTATGATTCGCGCGGCTCCGACCGGGCAAATTGATCGCGGCTCTTGATCATAGTGAATGACTAGGTAGGAAGATCGCCGGCGCCCCCCATGGTTTTTCGGTTTGTCACTTTCTCAGTATGCCACTCAGGCAAACGAACGGTCATACCGCTAGCGAGACGGGCGAACGAGCTGTGAGGAACAAACCGAAGAGAGGAACAAATGAAACAAAGCGAAGAATGGATGAACGAGCTATATCCAACTACTACCTAGCAGCAAAACAAGCCAACAGTCACTCAGTCAGTCAGTTAGTTACCATAGACAGACGAGCAGACGGACACACAGACAACCAACGACAAACTACTGCTACACGTAACGGTGATTCAGCTTGTGATCCGACCGAGCCCTCGTTGGGGGCCCTGTGATTTATCGGACGGAGGTGTCACAAACCCGGCTGTCCACCAAAGGGCACCCAAACGTTCATCCGTCCGTTCGATCGCCTGCTCGTCCAACTTACGAGGAGTGACTCGAACCTGGCTTATATTCGTAGGAGTATGTCCTCAGTCACGATCGTGTTTTAATGTTTCAGCGTCAATTCGACGGCGCAGGAGAACTGTCGTTTCTCCCGATGAACTCCGAAGAAAGTCGGGACAGTCGCGATCTGCATCACTTTAAAAACGCCTGCCGACGAAAGTGTCTACTGACGATACTCATCTCACGCTCCTCAACCTCTTGCAGAGTCCGATTCTCAATCATTGCCTGGCAAATTCGGCTTGTGTGCCAGGAAATTATATTGCTCTTGATTGCCATTCCGATATTCATTATTATCGGTGATTTCAAATCGGGGAGAAAGATTCATTTCCGTCGACCACAACCCGATTTAGAAGAATCATCTGCTGTCGTGAAGTTGCCTCCAAACGACCGCTACCTGGATTCTTCGATTGGTCTACCCTCTGACTGACTGAGCGATGGCGGGCGGCATCAGAGTTAATCCTCTTGGGCGCTTCTGCACCACGTATCGGCCCCACCGTGAAACGGGTGGGGTTGAACGTAGAAGCAAAGCAACTAAGGTGAATAGATAGACAAACACGAACAGAACGCAGATTAATATCTTCGAATCGGCGTTGAAGATCGGGGGTCCCCAACGTTATCATCGGCAGTGTCGGCATTGTTGATGTTGCGTGTGATTCTATGGGTCGGCCGGCGGATCGGTTGCTTGGTCATTCACTCACTCAATCGTTCAGACGCTCGCTCTCCGGGAGGCCGCTCCGCCCACTAGATGAGCTCCCGACCACCGAAACAAAGACCTGGAACACACTCCGGTGCTGAATTGCTGCATCTTGGGTACACATACCCGTCGATCGAGCGATGGCTCGATTTTCGCGGGAAGGAAGCATCACTCGTCAGACTCCGGTCTTCGCTTCGCTGCATAAATCTGCGGCACCCTCGGTAATCGCACGTGAGGAAAGAGGAAGTGGGATCATGATTCGAAATTCGGACCGTAGATATCGATCGCCAATCGACGACGTAAAAATAGTTCGGGTTGTGTCGAGCGAGCTGTCAATGGAAGCGGCTCGTTACTATGTACTACTCCCACCCAAGTCGTTCGCGAGTCAGAACCATCAGTGTGTTGACACAGGAATGCCAGCGGGGAGACGTCAGCCATGCGCTCACACAGATTTGATAACAGACAGTGAAGCAAACATAAATAGTCACCTAAGCTGGTGGTTTGTGTCGGAGCGAAATCAATTTCGGGCTCAGCTTCGGGAGGATGCGAGCTCGGCCAGACGATCTCCGACAGGATATTATGGCACCAATGGAATTCATAGAATAACTCGGAATGACTCGATCATTTGTTCCACGAAACGAATCCTGACGAAGCGTATCCGGATCGTATGGATATTATGCCCGAGTTCCGTCGTCAACGACTAAAGCTTCGCATCTCTATTTGGATGCACAGGAGGCAACATGGAACACTAATGATGAAGATGATGCTCATGACACGATACTTGAGTTAGTCGGACGCCACTCCGATGGCAAGAGGACCAATTACCGATTTGCCGGAGCGGGCATCGCTTGTGGTGGCCGTGGCGAAGGTTTGTGTACGTACAAGTAAGGACGACCGAGCATTCTCATCGTTGTTTCAGTGGGAGTGATTTAAGAAGACTGAGCGAATCCATCTGCCAGTAGAAGCGCAAGTGCGGAAAATTTGTCAAGCTTAGAACGCTAAACTCGAGCGGATACGCTGGAGTCATCTTCGTGGAGCACACAGAATTTCGATTTTATAAAAGATCGGCATGAGCGGGGGCTCGGATCAAGGGGCATCAGAGTTGAGTAACGACTGAAGAATTCGTGTACTCGATCTGCCAGTGGGATCATCGGAGCTCCCCAAAGATCCCGTCGGATTTCCCGTGCGTTCGCAGATTATTATCGAAGGGAGTCCACTACAACGCAATCGATTGTTTGTGATATATACCGGAAGAAATGTCTTTCGTTTCCTGGAGCCTCAGCTCTCGATGAGCCCGATAGAGCTCCGATAAAGGTCATCGAATTGGAACTCGGACAACAGATTCACGCTAATGAGAAGTCTCAAGTACGGACGGAAACGTTTCTGCCCACTACCACATCACCAATCGTTGTCTTATCGGTATCTGCTTCTCTGCTCGAAACATCTGAAAATGATGTCGCTACGGTTTTCCGCGCGGGTCGCCGATTCCTAGTGCAGATTTGAGGAACTTGGCTCAAACATCACGCTCGAAACATGGGAGCCCTCATGGAGGCTGCGGTGATGCGCCGATGCGTATTCATCTCCTTCCCAACTCCACGATACAAGTTCGTAGGAGGGATACTCACGGTCTGCGAGCGATGCATCACGTTTCTCATTCCCCTCGCTGCACGGAGGCAAGAGAAGATTTTTCGCCGAAAGTTCATTGATCTGATTCGATCCACGTACATCCTTTTCTGCGTCATTTCGTTATAGATTCTTAATTCGGTACCGTAGACCGATGGCTTCCGGCTTGGCATCTCGAGCTGTTATTTCATAGTCGGACGAAGAACACACAATCCAGACGTATTCAATCAAGGAAGTCACAAGTACTGTCGACCCCGCTCTATTGAGAGTCTTGTGAAATGCATCGAATGGAGAGAGATCCACTCCGATCTTCTCACAATATCCGGTCCTCATTGGACGGAGTCGACTTTGCAGAATAAAGGCTCTTTGACGGAAAATCTCGATTCCACGAGAGCTTTCCCATGAATGATAAGAAATGATCGAGGGTGCATCCTTCGTGTTTTTGCGTTTTCCATGAGGTGGGCAGGTATGGAAATGACGTGAATACTTCGAATGCTGGGAGTAGAGCCCTATGAGGACGGCAGGTGAACCACTCCGTCGGAAACAAAGGGAGACGATCGAAGAGAAGCGCGTTTCCGACGGCAGCAATCATGATAATTGCGGAATGGCGACGCCAATGTCTAGTGTCGAGTCGTTCGAAGAGTTTCGCTCGGGCACTCGACGACAAAAATGTCTCTCGCCTGTAGTCTCCGGCGGTTTTTCCTTTAAGGGTTCCGGAGACCCCTGCGTCGAAGCGCTTTCCAGTGACATGGACCCCTGATACACTTTCCACTAGTACTGAAGCGGGTCCCTAGAAATTCTCTCAGCTAGTCTGTCCTGAGAAACTCGACCTGAACGCAATGCGCGCGACAGGCACCACTGATGGAAAGATAATAATTGCTCAGAAACTCATGGATGGATTCGCAGGAAGATCATAAAAGACTCTCCGGAGGCGATGTCGAGGATAAAGTAGCACATTACATACACATTAAGATGCATGGCTAACGACTGGAAATACGTCAATGATGTTCTCCGTAATTCCCAGGTCCCATCCGTCCTATCTCCTTCCATGCTAATCGAATCAGTCATAGCGGGCCTGTGCGAGTCTCGCGAGTCGAAAATTCGAAAGCCTATCAAAGGATTTGCACTCATGTGCTTCCTGAGAACGGCTGCAGCGGTATTACCGATAATTTTCGAGTTCCATCCCGAATCGGAACCCATCTTCGGATAGAACGGACTCCGGACGTAACGGATCGTTTCAGCTGGTCGCTTCTAGTGCATTACTGCGGGGCGCCACCGTATCGGGTATTCGCGGGGCGTTAGCGCGGAGACCGCCGCATGTATATTATGTCCGTGATTCCCCAATTCGTTACGCAGGCTCGCGTGGCGCGAATATTGAGCGATCAATGAATCGAGGTCGACAGTACGAGACGGCTAATGGTAGGGGAGGGGGGCTTTCGCGAGAGCTTCATATCAGAACTTCCACGTGTTTCCTCCGTATGATCCGGGCAGCGCCAAGTATATCCGCCCTGATGGATTCGACTTTCAGAAGCAGGGACGAGAGCGCTCCATTCGCTCACGATAGGTATCATTCTCTCAAGAGCAGCTCGTTCGCCCCATTATTGGGACCGTGAGAACGAAAGCCGCTGAGTACGGCTCGATCGTATACCACGAGAGACGAGCACCGAGCTTGCCACAGAACATATCCACGAGTTGAAGGGCTTCAAGTCACGACCCTCCAACGTACAGCTGAGCATACAAATATTTTTGGAATATTCAAGTATAAGATTCCATCTAGTAATGATTACGGTCCAGAAGCGGACGCCGACTCACCGACACATGGGTTCGCATCCGATGCTGTGGCACGCGCCCAGGGCCGATCGAAGTGGAAGGGTTTGCATTTTTCGCAGTCCCTTCCGGCGGTGTTGTGGCGGCATTCGCAAACTGCCTGTCCGTCTTCATCGTGGACACATTTCGAAGCGTGACCGTTACACTTGCAACGACCTCCGACAGCCAGATCCGATACTGCGTAAAAATACTGTCCGTCGTCGGGGTTCTGAGTGAGAGGCACATTCGCCACCGTTTCGTTTTCGGAATCGAACTCGTCCTCGTCTTCGACGGAGTTCTCCTGATTCCAATTGACGAGTTTATTGAAAACCACTCTGATATCCGTCGCGGTGACCCAATCTTGGAGGACGGGACTCGTATCGAATTCATAAGCGGACGGCCGACCTTCGAGGGTGCTGAACGCAATCCTGTTCTCAGTGGGTATGCTCCCCGTGTCGGTGCACAACGCTTCGTGTTCGTTGTCGTTCGTGATTTCGGCTTTGGTCGGACGGCCGTAGGTTTTTCTGCACGATGACGAGTAGTATTGAAACGGTTGCCAGGTTTTTCCGAAATCGGAGCTCTTGAATAAAGCCATCGAGTCGGGTTTCGGTCCGCAGAAGCTCAGCGACACGTAGGTGAGTTCATACTTTTTGTCGAGGGAAAGCGTGAGAGAGACGTTCTGCGACGGGCTGTTGACGGGCTCCGACATCCAGCAAGTCAGATTGCTGGGATTATTGAGATCGGTGAGGAACGAGGCCGGATGACGGAACTTCGCGTTGCTCTCATCACATATGTCGCAGGTCCTCACCAGCTCGCCACGCTTATCCGCGTTCGTGGAGCAGTGTCGTGTGGGGGGGCTGCCACAGGTGGAGGTGGACACCACGGGTCGGCTGAAGGCCGCGTTCACGAAATCCGGTATGCAGCGTTTCGGGGTGCCGCGATCATCGTAGCACGGATCGATCGGAGCTTGCTCCGCTTGGAACATCGACAAGAAGCTCGACTCGTCCTCTTCAGATTCCAAAGGTTGGTGCTTGCGATGGAACGTTCTTGAGGTCGCCGAAGCGACGACCACCGATACTATAAGAAGCGCTCTCATCGTCACTTGCTGCAGCTCGTTCCGAAAGTCTGTCGTTCGGGATGCGAAGTCCGCTTCTACGCGCACTCAAAGTCGATCCGCAAGCACGCGGCACGCACGCTACACACACGGAGCACAGGAAGTGAGCGAGCTCGACTCCGGTAAGTGAAAAGCGGCGAATCGAAGTTTTTTCTACGCTTCTCGAGAAACGGTTTTCACGCTTCCGGTTGACATCTCAAGAATGAGAGGCATTCGCACATATCACATCATTGGCGCGAACTCCTGGAATGGGGAAGTCTCCGGGAAGAAAGCCATTCCAGCTCCCAGAAAAACTATGCACACCCCTCAATTTTTCTGACTTTTATTTTCATTTTGAAACATTGAAAATCCACGAAGGAGAAGTAACAGCTGTCTATCATTATAACGGACGTACCTGAACGTGATGCGGGAAGAGCGAGCGTGACCGCACGAGAGAAAGCACATCCAGATTGGAAACCTTCAAAGCATTTCTCTTCTACTCTACCGTACGGAGCTTCCGTCCTTTCCACTAAGAGAGGGCCGGTGCTCGGTTGGCTATGTGTCTGTCTGCCTGCCTGCCTGCCTACCCGCCCGCCTGCCCGCCTGCTCGCCTGGCAAGCGACTTGTTCTGCTGGGGGCTCGACGCACGAACAGCACGCGCGGGAAAATTGGAGGAGGGTCGTCTTTCCGGCGAGCAACTTCAGCACAAGTGTCGACCGGGAACGGTGCCGTCGTCTGAGCGTTTTTCAACTCATCCCAAGGAGTCCGGGATACGAGATGAATTGAATGCGACAGATAGCTGGCTCCATACATGGGACCACCTTCATCGACTTTCTCATTGATGAAAATTCTGGCAGAGATACATCTGCAGAAATACACACAACATTTCTGATACTAGGATCGTTGCCGCTGGAACCCGAGCTCAGGTTCGCTTTTCCCGATAGTACCTGACGAATGCATACAGAAATGAAGGTGAGAAGGTTGGTCGGTCGACGGCCCAGGGAACGCATTTGTGAAGACTTTCGCGATGCTCCTCAAAGACTCGGTTGTTTGTATTCTCTTGAAATCTGGTCTCGGATACGTCGCGATGGCTCCTCATGCGGACGTGCTGTCCGTCGAGTCGGAAGCGGCCGTCGGTCCTGCGTATTTGCATCATAAAAGAAATTGTCGTGTAAGAGAAGACATCACAGACTTGAAAGCGATGATGATAGCGGTGACGGTGCTGGTGGCAGCGGCCTTTTAAGCCTGATATATTTACACGCGTAGATAAAGAAAAGACAGAAAGAGTTCACTTGCCAACCGAACACCGACGCTGAGCAAGTTGAAAAACGCGACTCGCCGAAATCGGCCGCTCCGTCTGCTAGCTTTCGATGCTTCACGACTAAATCTGCCGCTCCCCGCCCACGACTCCCACTGCTTGAGCCACGATGCGGGGAACAATTCGTACTGACTCGGACTCATGGCGTAATTGATGAACTAATGAGTAGAGATTCAATGAGCTTTAATCAGGATAGCGAGGTAAGTCCTAGCTACAAGTCTCAAGTGTTTTCATCGAAACTCGGGCCCGACTCTGTCAGGCTGTGATTTCCAACAATAGAGGCGGCAGTCAGCGACCACGATCATTCAGTCGTTTCCAATGTGGACGACGGCAATACATACAGCGCAAACTTCTCATGCCCGGTATATACACAGATCAGTACGGAAATATATCTGTTCGCTGAGCATAATCAAACAATCGGTTCCGAGACCGGAATAAGAATAAACGATCAATGATAAATATGAACAATTCTCAGTCGGATCTCTTAATTTGTTTAGATTGCTCTGTATTGAGAGTCTTCAATTGCTGGAGCTCACTCGGGGTGAAATTAGCCAGACTGATCGGGAGAGACTCGTACTGTCTGGACACTGTGGGTCGCATTTGAGGATAAACAAGCCGCCGAACTCTCCCGACGAGGTACGTAGGCTAAGCGTAAACACTCATCTGACACTGAACACAGATGTATGCAGATACCCGGGTAGATAGGGTGGGCCCGACCAGAACACCCTGAGAGAGTCGTGAAGTAGAAGAGGTTCACATACGTAGAAAGAGATCGTGCTCTCCCATCTGGGATGGAAGACATCTTTCCGGCGAATCAGACCACTCACCGTGGAACGTCTCCTCGATGACTAGAACGCCGATAATGATGGAGCGACCTTCCAAAAATGAGTCTCAATGCACATCGAGCGCGTTACTGATTCACAGCCGCGGGCTTGGAATCGCATAGGTCAGGGGCAGCGGCACGAGCCGCAACACGGGCGTACACGGAGCAACAGAGTATATCGCCCATTCAGCTCCCTTGGGGATGTGCAAGGATCGTCGTCGCCGGTTCTTGCCTGCTGCCTGTAGATGGCACATCTCAGCGGATTATGGGCCCCAGCTCCGAAAAAGACATTCCCATTAAGTTGTGTAGTTTCGAAACTCTTCATTTTTTGGTCGGCAGGAACAGGCGTGCTAAGCCTCCCACGAATGAACCTCGGTGCCGAGGAGACAGACGATCTCCAAACCTCATACAGATCGAAGGACGGGGCAGCAAACAAGTGGTCTCTCGCAAAGATATAGGGTCGACCAACAAGTAGGAAGATGTTGGGATACAGCCGCTGCTGTTTACAGTGGGGATCTGACGCAAGCCCCGTGCGATACACAGAGGAAGACAGTCGATGGTGGATGGACGTATACGTGGAGTGGTACAAGACCAACAGAAGTGACCCTCTGTCTGCGAAAAAAAACCGACGCAGTCAAATTACTATTAGCCACAGCTGCCGCAGAAGTCACAATTTCTGGCTCCGTTTTCGCTAGACGTGTTTTTTCGCATGCAAGACATGCTTTGCGCTGGTCGGATACTCGTTTTCAAGTTGTGTCGTCCCACCTGCTCCAGAATGGATGTGGCGGAAAGGGTAGCCGAATATTCCGAATCCGGTCCGATTGTCTCGATCGGCTTCCGGAGTCTCAGGAGCATCTTGCAGGAGCCCTGTATCGCAGGTACCTCGCAGTCTTGCAGCAAGTGTTTTAAAATCAATCATTTTGGTTAGTTGTCTTGCACAGTGAGGCTGCTTATCGTATTATCACACACATGGTTCAACAACGCGGAACGCGTTATCTCCTCCGCAACACGGCGCTCGATGCCCCTGAGACCATAGCGAATACCGGAGTTTCGCTTCAGAGATCATGGCAAGGAGAGAGCGAGTTGGGGCGGGCGAGCGCTCTTTGAGCACGAACGAAGCTCACAGGACGCACAGAAAGAGCGCAGAGAGCCCCGTCCGTCCGTCCAACCCGGTCCCCACCGCTTCCGGAGTGGCGTCACAATCCAGCCGATGCCAGCCCCATCAGAGAGCTAACTGGCCGCATCTAGAAGCCATACAGGAAACCCTGCCTACGTTCCTATTTAGATCTGAAACTTTCTTGGATGTTTGCTGCGGCCTCGGCTCCACATGCATGCATACATGGCAGCATCGAAAACTGGCTCACACTGGGGATTTTCAGAAAGCGCATTCGGGATGCATTCCAGTGCGTCGCAGCTTTACCCCTTTGGACGACGACGAATATTCCCGTTCGTTCTAAGAGAGATTCAGGCCTTGCCCCCGGCTCGTCTCCATGTCAAGACCGCTGTGGACGAAAGTCGAAGACTCGGACCTCTGGGAAACCAAGCGGTGGCAAGAGCAAGAAACGTGCTCAAAGAATCAGGTCGGTAGACGGCATAACGATCAAGAAATAGCAGAACCTACAGCAACGACGAAGACGCTAAGCTCGCAATTAGTAAGATTAAGGATAACGATTCATTGTAGCCTCGTGCAATAGACTGATTTGTCTGCCAACTCGGCTTACGCTAGCCGTAACGCTGAGCTTCACGATTAGGCTTCCTTACGTTGGATTGACTGACATTGAACAAACTAACACCAATAACAGTCCCATGGACTCTGTCGGACGCGCAGACTGTCTATGTGTACAACGTACCCACCGTGCTAACCCATGGCATACCGATCAGCCGAAAAAGCCGGAACATCTCTCGAACGGCTATCCCCGGATGCTCGGACGGAGATCTTTGGGGAATATATTCTCTCCGAAATGGAACCGATACTCTGGAGATCACGCTGGCGCTGGCGGGATTCGGTTGAGAATGAAATTCAGCCGCCAGAACGATTCGTTTCCACCGCTATCGTCTACTTACCCGGTTCCGGGTCGCGACTCGATTTGGGCGTTTTTATTGTTCGAAAAAATTATTAATCTTGCAGCGAGGCAGTATCAACGACGAACGAAGAAAACGACGCCGCAACAGCCGAGTCGCTGGTTTGTCTGCTTTGGCTTCTTGCTTAGTTTCGCTGTTCGCTCTACGTGGCGTCAAGATGTGGGTGTTCGGATTGAACGAGGACATATCAGGGCAGGTCTACGAGAATGATCGTCGGAATTCGAAAGCCATCGGAATATGGATATCATTATTTAGGAAGTCATATTTCCATCGCTCCCGTATCGACATCGATTCGAGTCAGGGACCGAATGACACACTCCGTCGATTGATACGGATCTACTATGTACTTGTCATATGCGAAAGGAACAAATTTTCAAGACTTCATAGGTGGGAGGATGCGTTTGCAGGCGACGCTCTCGTGCTGCCATGACAGAGGCGGTCGAGAGCAGCCGATCGGAAACGAACCTCAGTACTGAAATGTCGGCGCAAGCAGGCTGTCTGTTATCGCAACAGGTAGGCAACTTTCGAAGTCGAATTCGCTGGTTCGACAGTGGTAAGAAAGCGCTTTTAGCGCCGACGGCTTTCATCTCCAGTGAGCGTGAACATATTCCGATTGGCTTCACATATACATGCCTAGCTGGCTAGCAAGCCAGCCAGCTTCCGAGCGACGATCCGCAACAAGCCGAGGAGGCATTTCTTGCATAGGCATGCGTTTCGCCCTTCCCACCTGCGCCTCCGTGGCCACCATCTGCGCTGGCAGAGCATTTCAACACATTCTGCGTGCATACACAGTGGATTAGAAGATGCAAAATATTGACTTGCTTCGGTGCTTCCGAAAGGAGTTCCAATGAATAGCCAACCGTGGAGCGCGAGAACATGTTCGGTCAAAAAGTTTCCCTCGTAAGTTATTAGTCGACTGCGTTCCTGTACGCATGGAACCGCGGATTCCACTGCCTCCCAGTGAGCCATCCAGAAGCATCGTCTGAGCTGTATCGAAAACGATGATATTGCCAGATCGAGACGCTCCTTAGAGATAGATTCATGCGGCAAAAAAACAGCGGCGCCTTGAATCCCACGCATCGGAGATGTTCGCCTACTTCCGAGCGGATTCCGATGCGCGGAATCGGTGCTAAATTATTTTCGTGGCCGGCACATCCGTGCAAACGGATTTCGGCGCTGGTCAGAGCGGAAGCGTAACAGCGATCATCGTTTCCGACTTCGACCATGACCGAATGGAGATAGATAGATA